ACCCACAACACCATGGACGGATGCATTGCATGGTCCAACATGTTTAAATACTGAAGACTTTTTTCTGCCTTCGACAACCACCCCCCCACCCCCGGCCCTCCCGGATCCCACAGGGTGACCGTGAGATGCGGAAGACAATGGCTGGTATTCTGGAAACAGGTAAGGTAAGTTTTACTTTTCAGGATTGGGGAATAAGAAGGAATCACCTCCAACCCCACCCCCTCCTCACAGACCTCCCTCCACCCAGGCATACACACACTCCCACACAGCCCCACGTGGACACCCCTACAAGCCCAAGCAGGTGAAGACAGCGCGGGCGCAAATTCCTTCATCAACAACCATTTTGCCTAAAGATCTTTTAGCAGAGCCTGGAGAAGGGATTTTCCCAGAAAGATTGCCGTACACCAACTTAACTCAGGGGGTGGCCGTCGGGGTGTGGGGTAGGGAAAGGTAAGACCTACTTAAAAAAAAAAAACTTCTCGAAAGCTTTGTAAGGATCTCAGGAATTCCACTGTGCACAGCCAAACCTTGAAACCACTCATAATCACAGCTCACAAATGCTATATAATTTTTTTTTAATTTCTTTCATTGGAAAGTGCAGTTTGCATTTGTAGTTACTAGATGAAACTGTCCGTTTTCGATTCCAGCTCGGCTTTGTGGAATCCTGGATAAGGTTCCATTCTACCCTGATACACAGACTTGCCACGACAGCCGCGGCTTCTTCACTAAAATCATCTTTTTTTCTTTCTTGCTCTTTTCTGTAATTTTTTTAAAACTATGTAAATAGGAAATGCTTCAAAGATTTGTTTTGTTTCAGGTTTTGGTCATTAAGACCCTCCGACCACTGCCTTTGTGCCACATTTCACCAAAGAGAAAATAACATCATTTAAACTATTCTTGGACAGTCAGATACCAGTCACGTTAAATGAAGAAAAATCCTCTTTGCACATGGAAGAAGAATCGACACAGTCAGAAAACAAACTAGATTAGGAAAATGACAAAAATTAAAGACTGGAGAACGTTTTGATTAGGTGCAAAGGAGAAATGGATTATTAATTTTTTTAACTCTCAACAAGCATGCCCATACACAGCGCAATAAACAGCAATATCCTTCTCTTCGCCCCTCACTCTCCTCCCCACTCCCAAATACATCCTGATTCAGAATGCACACTCCTCTTATCCACTTGGGAAGATCGGGAAAAAAAATCAGCCTCTTCTCTCCAGAAGACGACTTGCTCCTGTTCTGTCCTGTTCGTTGTTTCTAAGCAAATCAGCCCTCCTACCGCATGCTGTGTGGCCGGCCTCCTGGCTGGGTGAGCCTGGGCATCCAGGCCTCTGGCCTGTTACCATCCTGTTAACCCTGGGAGAGGCCTCAGGGCAGCAAACGCCAAGGTCCAGGCTCCATCAGCCCAGATCTGAATAAGAATTTGAGTCCCCACCTCGTGCTGAGCTGCTGTGTTGACCTTGAAGTGTTAAGTCACTCAGTCAAGTCCGACTCTTTGCGACCCCATGGACTATAGCCTGCCAGGCTCTTCTGTCCATAAAGTTCTCCAGGCAAGAATGCTGGAGTGGGAAGCCATTCCCTTCTCCAAGGGATCGAACCCTGGTCTCCTGCATTGCAGGCAGATTCTTTATCATCTGAGCCACCAGGGTGTGATCTCAAGCCAACTTCCTAATCTAAGTCTCAGCTTCCTCTTCTGGAAAGTGGATTTGATGACAGTAACATCGCCTCCCAGGGCAGCTATATGAGTTAAATGAACAGGAATTCTGAGCGCAGGTGCCAAGTTCCCAGCTAATATTCTCAGGTACTATTACAATCGCAGGGGCTTCCCTGGTGGTTCAGTTGATAAAGAATCTGTCTGCAACGCAGGAGACTGCCTGCAGTGCAGGAGACCCGAGTTTGATCCCTGGGTCGGGAGGATCCCCTGGAGGAGGAAATGGCAACCCACTCCAGTATTCTGCCTGGGAAATCCCATGGACAGAGGAGCCTGGCGGGCTACAGCCCACGAGGTCGCAAGAGTTGGACAGGACTCAGTGACTAAACCACCAACCACATCACACATCACACTATTCGGCTCAACTGGAGACCTATGTGCAGAAGGTCCGCTGTGGGCAGGTGCTGCCCAGGCACTGGGGTACCTGTGGTCCTAGGGCATTCAATGAGAGGAAAGCAGACAGCACAAGCAGCCTTGAAGAACCTCGATTTTCTCAAATGCAAGCTGACCGCATCGAGGCCCTGCTTGGAATCCTCTCCCTGGATTTCCACGGCTCCAACAACAAGGACCCAAGGCCCGTGGGCCCTAAACACACTCCAGCTACACAGGTCTGCGCCCAGCGGCCTCTAGTGCCCAGATGCCTCCAGCTAAGGAGTGCTGTGTTCAGAGCACGCAGTTCAAATCCTCTCAGGGGACCTTCTCTAAGCTCACCACCTACCTATGACATAGATACTCTGAATTCTCCCATTTTGTGGATGAGAATGGTGAGTCACAGAGAAGTGAAGTCTCTTGCCAAGCCCAGCATGGAGAGAGAGGGAGTGATGCTGAGATCTGGATGCAGGCAGCCTGGACCACCTTTGTCCTCCTCGGCAGTTGGCTAACCTTGCCCTTCACCCCTCCACAAGGCCGGTATTTCCCCAGAGAAGCCTTGGTCAGGGGTCTTTGTCCCAGGGTCCCATGAAGAGCCTGTGTGTGCCCCAGGGGCTGAGCCTGGGTCTCACTCAATTGCTCACCCCCCAGTACCTCCGACACAGCCCCCACAGCTCTGTGACCCTGAGCAAGGGGCTTCACCTGCCGGAGGCTCTGTTTCCTTGTCCATGAAATGGAAGACAGAAAGAGTAGCCAGCATCAGACAGTCATGAGGATTAAACGAGGTGACACATGTAAACGGCTTATCACAGAGCCCGGTGCCTAGTAAACGCTCAAAAACGTTGTTAGTGTTGTTTTTATCATCACCATCCTCATCACCCCAGGGCTCATCACAGATGCTTCATAAATATTGAATTGGTGGATGTGCGGATGGAGGGATGGAGGGAAGGATGGAGAAATGGAGGGAAGGATGAAGGGATGCAGGAATGAAGGCAGAGATGAAGGGAGGGGTGCAGGGACCAGGCCCTCCACCCGTCCCCTCGCCCCCAGGGAGCGGGTGGGCGCCTGCATGCCCTGCGGCCAGCCGCGGTGGGGGAGGCCACTCAGCACCAGGGGACTCAGCCAGGAAAGGCAGGCGGCACAGCGTCCCGGGAGGCACTCCGCAGTGAAATGCTGCATTTCACATAAAGGGGGTTTGCAATGGGCCCTGCTCAGAGAAATCAGGGAAACTGGGAACGCAGAGCTTTCTTTTAATACCCATTTAATATTTATGGAGCTGCAGCAGCATCAGCCACCGTGCGGAGAACACAGCCGATCCACGGGGCGGGAGCATGATTCCCCAGCAAATGGCTGTGAGCTTGGGAAGCATTCACACCTGGTCCACAAAACAGCACCGCACGCAGGCAACGCACACGGAGGGTGCTGGGACAGAGACCACCCGGGCTTCTGTCCTGGCTCTCTGGCCAGTGGAGTGACCTTGAGCAAGTCACACACCCAGGCCGGGCCACAGAGACCTCCTCTGGGCCAGGGGGCAGGAAGGAAGCAGGACCACAAAGAAGAGGATAGAATAGACTGATTAATGCCTTTGTGCGCATGCATGGTCAGTCGCTTCAATCGTGTCTGACTCTTTGCGACCCCATGGACGGTAGCCCACCAGCTCTCCATGGGATTCTCCAGGCAAGAAAACTGGAGTGGGCTGCCATGTCTTCCTCCAGGGGATCTTCCTGACTCAGGGATGGAACTGGCATCTCCTGTGTCTCCTGCATCCCAGCAGAGTTCTTTACTGCTAAGCCATTAGTGAAGCCACTCAGTCGTGTCCAACTTTTTTCGACCCCATGGACTGTACCCTACCAGGCTCCTCCGTCCATGGGATTTTCCAGGCAAGAATACTGGAGTGGGTTGCCATTTCCTTCTCCAGGAGATCTTCCCAACCTGGGGATTGAACCCAGATCTCCCACAATGTAGGCAGACACTTTACCATCTGAACCACCAGGAAAGACGCTGAGCCGCTGGGGAAGCCCTGTTAATGCCTTTCCTTACTCAACAAACGTTTGCCTTGGCCCTACACAGCGTCACCAGTCCAGATGCCACAAAGAGCAGTAAAAGAATCAACAGGTCACTGCCCTCAAGGAGATGGGGGCAATAAAGCAAATACATAAGTAAACAGAAGAGATACCTACAGACAATAACAGGGCCCTGGCAGGAGACAGGACAGGGTGACGGAGTAAGGGGTATGGGGGGAGAAGAGGGTTGTGACTTTAAACTGATGATCAAGTAAGGCCTGACTGAAGAGGCGACATCGTTTCTAAAGTGAATGCTGAGAGGGAGCCAGTCACGCCCAGAAACCTGGGAAGGAGAATTCAGGCAGCGGGAACAGCAGGTGCAAAGGCCCTGAGGCAGAGGCAGCATTAATGAGCGGTCTCGTTGCGTTGCTACTGTTCTTGGCCCCGGAGCGCTGCTGCAAGAGAAGGGCCCAGACTCTGAAGTCAGCACTGCTTAGCCGTGGACCCTGGGCAGTCCCTCAACTTCTCTGTGCTTCCACTTCCTCACTGGCCCCGTCAGGAGGTAGCAGAGAGGATGGCAGGAAACTGTGCTGGCCATTCCACAAAGGCCCAGTCAGTCCAGACTGGGAAAGCTGAAAAGCTCTTGAAATGTCTGGGCTGAAAAATTCTTGTTGAGAAATCCCTCCTTTTTTGTAGGGATTGCTTTTCAAAAGTCTTATTTTCTCAGGAGGCAGTTTCTCTTTCTGTTTTCCCTCAGAGGCATTTATTTGTTGGCGCCCTGAGCCGAGTCAGGCCGGGAGAAGGCCGGACGCCGGCCAAGGCACCAGGTGGTGAGGAGGTTACTAGGGACCGACAGTACCAGAAGCTCATAGCCAGGAGAGAGGCCAACCCGGGCGCCCCGTCCCGCGGCTGCCCCACAACCTGCCTGCCCTCCTTGCTACGTCAGCAAGCCCACACACCACACCAAGGGCCCAGGAGGCACCCTGACCATGCCATTCCCTCCCACACACCGGATCTTGTCAGGAGCATCATGTTGCCCTGGGGGGAAGCCCAGACCCTCAGACCAGCCAAGGCCCCACTCAGGCCCTCAGACCAGCCAGGGCCCCACTCATCCCTCAGACCAGCCAGGGCCCCACTCAGGCCCTCAAATCAGCCCAGGACCCACACCAGCCCCTCAGACCAGCCAGAACCCCACGCCAGCCCCTCAGACCAGCCCAGGACCCATACCAGCCCCTCAGACCAGCCCAGGAGCCCAGTCAGGCCCTCATACCAGCCCAGGAGCCCACGCCGGCCTGCCAGATCAGCCCAGGAGCCCACGCCAGCCCTCAGACCAGCTCAGAAGCCATGCTGGCCCCTCAGATCAGCCCAGGAGCCCACACCGGCCCTCAGACCAGCCCAGGAGCCCACGCCAGCCCCAGCCTCACCACTCAGGCCACAGTCTCCGCTCTGGGTTTCCCGGGCACACGGGGAGCCCCCACCTCAGAGCCTTCCCTCCTGCTCTTCCCTCTGCCTGGAAGGCTCCCAGCACGACCCCCACCTGTGCCCCACACCTGTCTCCTGGCGCGGGGCTTGGGGAGATGCTGCCCGCCCCGACCCCTGACCTTCCCAGGATTTCTCTCACCAAAGCTCCCAGATGAACGTTCTGAGTCTGAGGTGAGAAGCCAAAGCATAAAACAATACACGAGAGAATGAACCCAGGAGAGAAACCACTGCCCTCAGGTCTCGGGTCCAGACTCCAGAGCAGCGCTTAGCTCCTCAGATCCCGGATTTTTCGCCTGCAAACACACGGATGCCAGAACCTCCCTCCCAGAGCCACTGGCAGGAGTGCAGGGCATGGCGCCTGCAGAAGCGCCGGGCAGAGAACTGGCGCACAGCAGGTGCCCCCCAAGCACCTCTTCCCCTCGGGTCAGAAAGTGCCAGCAAAGCCCAGGAGCGCTGCGGGGAGTTTCCAAGCATCAAGCAGAGATTTTCAGATAGTCAGGGGGCCCCCAGCCCCTGCCCGCCCACCCTGGGACCGGGCGGGCCAGAGGTCAGTCCTTCCCAGGGTGATGCAATTGGACACACCCAGTACCACCAGCCCCGTGGTGGTACGAGCTTTCTAGGCAGACTTCAGCAATCCCGCGCCCCGGGCGCCACAGGACTCCAGCCAACTCTGAAACACACACTGCCCCAACTCAGAGGGAAGATCCTGTTCTGGGACACAAATGACTCAGATGCAAAACTGACCCTTGAAGGGCTTGGGACCCAGCAGGAGGAACCAGACAGATCAATGGGGCAACTCAGACCCTAGAGGGGAGGGGCCTTTGGGACCCCAAGAAGGCCCCGACCTACGCCTACCAGCATGTGCCAGAAGCCCGAAAAAAGAGCATCTTAACAGCAGGTGGATTTTCTGCAAAGGAGAGACCTGAGTGGTCCCAACAGCCCAAGTCTGCCCAGCGGATCCGAGACGGAGCCTACGAGGCCCTGGGCTGCCAGGGCTGCCAATCGGCAGCCCAAAGATAGCCTCTGTTTGCCATCAGGCTTGAGACAAGACAACACTTCTACAGGCTCCCCAGAGACAGGATGGGCCCGGGACGGTCTCGGTTCATTTCTCTCTCCTCCGTCAGTCATCATGACCAGCATCCTCTCCGGCTCTCAAAAGTGTCCCCATTTCAACAGCTGAAAATGTCATGAAGGATAAAGGTCACCGTAATCAAAGCCAACCTGAGGCTGTTAAGGTGACCAATGTCTGTCTCTCTCCAGCATTAGCATGTTTGGAGGGACTCAGAGGTAAAGAACCGGCCCGCCAATGCAGGAGACGCGGGTTCGATCCTTGGTCTGGGAGGATCCCCTGGAGGAGGAAATAAATGACAACTCACTCCAGTATCCTTGCCTGGGAAATCCCATGAACAGAGGAGCCTGGAGGGCTACAGTCCATGGGGTCTCAAGGAGTTGGACACGACTTGGCGATTGAAGAACAAGAAAGCCGCAACTATGAGGCCAGGGCAATGTTATATTGTCCTGAGTCCCAAATTCGGAGGACAATCAATGACCACACAGGAGAGACTGTCCATTAAACAGGAGACGCCCCAGAGAAACCCCTGCCCGGAGAGACTGCACCGCAGCCGCGTTCCAACAAAGCCCAACACCTGGAAAACTTCTGCAGCATCCCAACCCCGTCTTCACTCCCACGCCCTCTCCCTGGACCTTGAGTGGGGGTCAGCCGGCAGCCCCCGCCCCACCATCAAGGCAGACCAGCAAGCAGACGATTGGATCCGGCCACTCACCCAGAACGATGCTGAGAGAAAGTCAGCTCAGCCAAAGGCACTGACGCTTTACTTGAGAGCTTAGTTGCAAGGTGGCAAAATGTCACAGAAAATCCATGCTACCACCTCCTAAATCATGGCTCCCACCCCAAGCAAAATGCAGGGGAAATCGAATCTAACAGAACAGTATTAATACCAAGGAGGGGGTTTGGGAATGATTCTCTTACAGGCCATGCTTCCCCATGAGCTCAAAAAATCACTTTTAAAATGGTTTTTTTTTCCCCTTGTTTTGTTCATGCCAGCAAATATGCAATTGATTAGTCAGTAGTTGAAAATATCAGAAAAGGTAAAAACAAAAAATACCATAAGAACTCAAAGGAAAAGAAAAGGAACAGACAGCTTAGTAGGAAAAAAATTCAGACCTAATCCCCCAATATCCTGAAAATGAAAGCTCTTATATTTGACCTCCTCCTTCTTCATCAACTATGTATTCCAAGGGGGGCGGAAAATGCTGGCCTGCAGCTGGTATTAGCAGCCACGTTGAATAAGTTGATGAGCTAAGTCGATGAAGGAATCCACAAATACTATGAAAATTAGACCATATTCCTTGAAAAAGGATCAACCACAAGTGACTTTAAAGCATTTACCACTTTCAAACCTTTTAGCTGGGCATGTTTTGAATTATGACTACATGATTTCAAATTACATGATTTTAAATTACACTTTCTAATTCCTCGCCGCCCCCCATCCCAGCAGCCGCTGCCGCTTCATTTTCCAATTATGTACTTTTATTTCAGAATGATGAAGAGAGCTACTTACTGGATCATGTCCTGTCTGCCACAAATAGCTGCTCACTTATTCCTTGAACCTTAGACAGGAAGACAGTCAGTTCACCTGGCTGGTCTTCAAATTCTGAATATCCTCCATTCCCGTAGCACCCAACGAGGCCCGAGAAGCAAAGAAACCCTCAAAGCTCGGGTTGAGAAATAATGTTTGTAAACCACTGCTCCGCTCCATAAATTATTATAATTCTTGGTGTTTTCTATATCCATCTAGCCGATCAGCAATCACATAAATAACGGTGAATGGACTGATTTTTCTTCTGCAAAGTGCTGTCCTAGTTTTCAAAATAAAGCATTTGGAGATTCGCGAGTCTTTGGGGTTGAGGTGGGAAGCTGCTCAGATTCGTTTCAAACGTGCACGCAGACATACCCACACACAAAAGGAAATAAGAGGTACGCATTAAAAAAACCAGGATTCTGCATCCCCTTCCCACGTATCCATCAAGTCACACCCCACATTCCTGGGGGTGTGGGACACACACGGTGGTGGGGAAGGGGAGCAGCAGGGCAGTCCTGGGTGCTCGGCGTTCACATACAATTTGCAAAGAAAGTAAACGTGGATTTACAGTTCTCATGGAAATCTATTAAACAGATGTCACTGAAGCATAATCAAATCGGCACTATGGTAATTCTACACTTAAGTCAGAGATTGGGGTTTTGCCATTTTTATGATCAGTTTAAATGCTTTTTTTTTTTTTGTGATCATGCGGGAATCTGCAATTAAGGATGAAACCTCCAAAAGTATGATCAGTTAACGAATGTTTCTGAATGACAAACTTAACAAAAGCAAAACTCCGTTCTCTATGTCCCCCCCACTCCCAACACACACGCCCCTTTGTGCAGGGAGCCTAGGGTGGGGGAGGGACCGACTGCTTTTTCCATGAGCACCGCAGTGCCAAAAGCGCTTCGTTGGGAAGGGGGAGAGGCGGGGTGCAGGGCAGAGCTCACACTTCTCAGGTAGCCATGCAATATATTTTGCAGCCTTGCAGGCTGTGGTGTTGTCGGAAAATGCAGAAGAATGAAATGAAGGGGAAATACGAAGCAGGCATCATGTTCTCCCGAAAGTGATGAAATTAGCACGGGCGATGCCAAAAGTCTTTCCATGTGTATCAGTGCTGAGCCTCAGATCCTTGGAAGGAGGGGATGGAAATGTGAAGCCGTGCAATTGAAGCAAACTTTCAGGGTTTGGAGTGGGGTGGTGGAGAGAGGGCTCTGGTCAGTTCTTGGCTCTGAACTCAACGCATATCGAAATCAACCAGGGCGGTGAATTTTTGTTTAGGTAGCTGTATCTGCCTCTGATGTACAACCAAGGTCTGACATCAAGTTGCCCAAATTCACATAGAAACCCCCCAAACGGTAATTCACAGAATGGTATGGAAAGACCAAAGGATATCTCGAGCCACTATCTGAGTTTAAAATTAAAATATATAATCCCAATTTGCTCAGACTGTCTTTCATGAGATTGGCCTGCCTCCATCAGCCACAGATACTTTAAATGGAAATAAAGCATAACGGAGTCTTGTCTCATTTGGGGTGGGGGGGTCAAAATAAAGTAAAGCATTTATTTTGGTTGCAGAATGGACAGGTCCAGGGAGAACCACAGCAAATGAAATTAATCAAGGAATTATATATACCTTCTCTCCAACACCACCTGCCAAAAAGGGGGTCTCTCTTTTTTTCTCTCCCTTAGAGTCGCTTTTGCTTTTTATAATTTTGCCGCTTCTTCAGCCCCAGGTCACACAACATCAGTGGCAGTCTGGAGAGGATGCAGGCTAGCTGGTGGTCTCATTCCGTGGGGGACATCGACATCCCAGGAAACACGGTTGCAGGGAAGAACTGCCTTCAGGGCGACCCAGCACAGTCTAGACGGTTCTCGCTATGGGACGCACCCCCTGTCTCTTCCTGCCCACCAAGTGTTGGGCACCTAATCCTACAGGGTAAGACATTTGGCCGGAAGGAAGACCCCAGGATGGCCTGTCTCTCATCTGAGATGCCAGGAACTGTGTGATCAGTGGGCACAGATCAAGCCTGAGATCCCATTCCCGGGCTCCTACACCTGGGGTGTCCCTCTCCCCAGGACCCCCTCGCTCCAGAGGTGCAGGCAGACAAAGGTAAACACCAACTGCCGAACGGAGAGATCTCAGAGAGAAGAATGAAAAAGGGGGGATGCTTGAAAAGACCCCTTTTCTGTTCCTGGAGAGGGAGAGGCGGTGGGAGAGACATGTCGCATTGTCACATTGAAGATTTTTGACAGACAATTCGGCGATAATGCAGAAATTCCACCCTCACGGCAGCTCGCCGCCGAAACTTGAAAGGCATTAACTAACCTCCACTAATTGCGTGTATTTCTGGGCATAATATTTACTTGCTAGAAGTCGTTGCCTGGCCGATTAATTTCCTCTGCCCTGCTATTCGTGATTGGTTCACAGGCCTGAAATTGGAAAAATGAAATCATTTTGATAGATTAAAAGATGATTGCACTTTGGGGAGGGTTTTCTTTCCTCCACTAGTCCGGAACCTGCACCCAGAATGCTGGATTTTCTTCTTGAGTGCTACCCTTCGGTGAAATCCTGCTACCATCCTTAATTCTTCAAATAAGTGCAGAGAGATGTGTCCTGTGTTAGGTGACAGCTTGCAAGGGAATGTAGCAAGTTCAAGAGAAACCAAATGAATTTAAATTACTTTCATCAGATAAAGATTTAACGGTCTCACCAGTAGACTGGGAAATTTTTAAAAAGCAGGCTTTTCTTGAATGGTTACTGTGTGTGTCAGTGCAATCCTGACACAGTTAGGGTCTTATAGAAAGACCCTAAAGCCCTAGTCTCTTACCTCTACTTAGACCTATTTGTCCATAAACACAGCCTACAGGGTTAGGGTGTAAGTGTTCGTATGGCAACTGTACCCAAGATATGACATCCCACGGGTAGGTGACAAAATCTGAGCTTATCCACATCAACATCATAGAGATCTACTTCAATCCAGGTCTTCAGAAATTCCTAGGGCTGAGAAATACATAGGAAGGCAGCCTCACGTTGAACCACTTCCGAAGACACGATTAAACCATTGTGACTGGATTATCGCCTTTTGACTAGCCATCAGCCAATTAATGGACCTCCACGGAGTGAGCACTCAAATAGATGTAACCATTTCGCAGAAACCCATCTTAAGGAAAAAGGTTTTACAAGTGTTGTGGGGCTGCCACTCGGAAAGCCAATTTGCAAGGAGCCGGGCGTCATGAAGCACAGTTTATTATGCACGACTCTCACACCGCGGTCCCCACAGACACTGTGCCCGGCTCCAGAATGCCTCCCGATCCCCACCGGCTGGCTCGACAGCCCCGGTGTGCTACCCACCCCCAGAGGCCTGCCTCGGCCCAGCCAAATCCACCAGACCCTCCCCAAACGGCCTCCCGGTGCGTTGGTTCCCATGGGTGGAAGCCCGCCTTCCAACTTGAACGTGGCAGTCAGCCGGTGCCTCTCTGACATCCCCCAAGCATTTTAGGCAAAGTGAAAAATTATTCGTGAAGTTGGTGCATTTTTCTGTTGTTGCAAATACCAGCCAGGATATGGACGATGGTAGTGTCAAACCCCCAGCCCCCAGCCTGGCTGAGCCCTGCTAACAAGTCTCCCACCACCATTCAAGTCCTACAGAGCCAGCTCACCATTCACCAACCAACCCACTTTTGTTCCCTGGTTTAATTTCATAATTGTTTGCCACTTAACAAGCTCTCCTCTGGGCCATTCAATAGGGGCCTTGGAATCGGGGAGGGAGAGGCAACCAAGCCCCCAAGGGGTGGGAGAAGCTCAGCCCCCAGCACCCGGGCAAAGACTTCCCAGAGAGGACAGCTAAGTGGCCTTGGGGGCCAGTTTCAGGGTGGGGCCTCCTGATCCCAGCCCCAGGCTCCCAGCCCCAGTGGGGAGGCAATGTAGGAAAGGCAGGGGTCTAGGACCCGAAGCCTGGACACAACAGACTCCTGGACAGATCAGCTCTCAGATCGACCCCCTTCTGTTTGCACCGGGTCAAGGGAGACCCCCTGAGAATTCACCTTCCTATGACAAGTCCCAGAAGAAACACACAAGAGGAAGAACTGCAGCTTAGCCTGAGCAGTCCCTGAAATATTACCTTCGAGGGCTGCAACCTGCCTGGTAGCCACTGAATCCCTTGCGACCCGCGCAGAGCAGACAGTAATAAATATGTGCGGAATGAGTGAGTGGATGAGTGGATGGATGGGTGGATGGCTGGGTGGGTGGATGGATGGATGAAGTTTCCAGCAATGCCGAGCCAAAGTGGCCACAAGGTCAACATCAGTCCCCGCCTCCTGTGCCCCCCAAGTACCAGCAGGGACTTCGCTGCGCACAGTAGGCTCTCAGCGTCGAGGGGCTGCTATTGTTATCACCATCTTCATCACTTGCACCCCACCAATGCGCTTCTTCCACCAGCAACTCCGCCAGCAGCCAGCAGCGACCGGCGAGCCGGGGAAAAGTTTCGCTGACCCCTCGGCCCCAGTCGAAGTCCAGCGTTCCGGCCGAGCCCCTCCCCGCGGCACCCGCTCGGCCCACAGGGCAGCCGGGGTGCGGGGCCAGGGCGCCGGCACCCGGCGAAGGCAGCCAAAGTAACTTTGCGGGCGCCCCTGCGCCGCGCCGCGGGCGTCACCCCGCGCCCGGAGAGGGTCCGGCCGCGCCCCCCGCCCNGGGGCGGGGGCGCGCTCACCTCCGGATCCGAGGCCGCCGCGGCGGGTACCGCGTGCTGGGGCGTGCGTGGCTCCTTCCGGGGCGCCGCGGCCCCCCGCCCCCGGCCCGGACCCTCTCCCGGGACCGCGAGGGCACCCCGCCCGGAACCCCTCCTGCCGGTCGTCTGAGAGTCCTCCTCCGCCTCCTTCTCCGAGAGGTGTGGACCCCCCAGCCCCTAGGCTGCGTAGGCCTGGTCCCCCTCCGGCACCCCATCTCCTCCCTCTGGGGGTCCCAGGTTCCCGACCAGGGTCACAATGGGTGGCCAGCGGGAATCTCACCCAGAGCGGCACGTCATCAGGTCGGGACCTGAGGGCCTGGCCCCTGGTTTGAAGAAGGCTCAGTCGCTGGGGAGGAAGGAAAGCAGCGCGTGGTAGTCCCACTCTAGGGGGATGCACTGGCCCCTGATGACCTCTCACCCCTGCCACGGGTGGAGACCGGTGGCCACAGGGCCCGGTCAGGCTGCGGCCTCCCAGATGGAGAGGTGAGGAGGAGATGTTCCCCTCAAAGGCCCATCTAAGTCACCCCAAAGAGGTTTGTGGGTCCCCCTCCCCTGGCACACTCACATGGCATTCTGCCTTCATCAGAGCTTCAGACACAATCCCCAAGGACAAGACACCCTGTGGGGGTGTCTCAGGCCTGGCCTGCCCTTGGGGAGAGCCAGTCTGGGAGGCAGGCAGGCAGGGGCAGGGCAGGTGAGGGAGGGGAAGTGGGAGCCGCTACCCAGTGGGGCTTCCTGGAGGTGGGCACACCCCAGGGAAGTGCGTGTCCTGGAAAGAAGGTATGGAAAAGGCGTTCCAGGCAGGGCCTTGGCGTATCTGAGATGGCAGCTTCCTCGGGGCTGGAGAAGGAGGAATTGTGGGCAGCAGGGGGAGAAGGAGCCAGAGCTGAAGGGCTTGGATGCCTGCCTAAGGGGGTAGGCTTTCTCACTGGGAGCCATAGAAGGTCTTTGAGCGGGAGCACCTGACTGGCTTTACCTTCTTAGAGTTTGCTCAGGCAGCCCTGGGCTTCCCAGGCCGCACTAGAGGTAAAGAACCCACCTGCCAAAGCAAGAGACATAAGAGACTTGGGTTCGATCCCTGGGTTGGGAAGATCCCCTGGAGGAGGAAATGGCGACCCACTCCAGTACTCTTGCCTGGAGAATCCCATGGACAGAGAAGCCTGGCGGGCTACAGTCCATGGGGGTCACAACGAGTCGGATACGGCTGAAACGACTCAGCACGCACAGGCAGCCCTGAAGAGGAGAGGGAGAGGCTGGGACTGCAGAGGGAGATGATGGAGGCCTGGGCTGGTCACCCCTCTCCTGTTTCCTTGTCCGTGGACCTCACTGTGCAGTGTCTCTGGGGCAGAGACTCTGGGCTGGAAACACAAGATGAGCTGGGCAAGCAGAAGGGGCAGCCGGAACACGTGGTGGGTGGGCACAGAGACGGCAGGGTCTCCTTCGGGGCCAGTCCTGGAAAGCAGGTGCCCCCCAGTGTCCCCCCATGATATTTCTCAGGCCCCCGAGGCCATGCTGACCTTTGCAGATGCCCACCTCCAGTCGGCCTGGTCCTCTGAGGGTCGGAGCCGCAAGGCAGGCCCTCCAGGCCAGGCGGAGAGGGGTGAGAGCGTCCCCTGGAAATTTAGGAAAGAGACCCCAGGTTAAAGCGCAGGCCTGCTGTCAAGGAGAACGTTTGATCATTCCACTGTCAACTCCACAGCCCAGGTGGCTAGAGCGTCCACTAGGTTGTCCTGTGTCGCCCCGTGTTGTCCCATGTTGTCCACGGTGTCCTG